ACAGGTGTTGGATGACGTCATCGCAGTCTCCCAGGAGGTGGAGGTCGAACCCGTCGGAGATCTTTCTCGGCGGACGTATCAACTCCCGATTGACGAGCACCTTTTTTACGCAACCGAGGGAAGGGGGGGGGAGGGTGTGATACAGCGGGGAGGGGGAGGGGGAGGGGCATTGGGGGGTGTTCTCATGGCAAAGCATGCCGTAGTCGTCAGAACACTGACCTCGCATCCCTAAGAAGCCGGGATGGAGCACGCCGGGTTCTCACCGGACCAGGCTCTCGGGGAGAAAGGGGTCTAAATCAAGCTTGCCGCGCAGCACGGCGGTGTAAACGACATGCTGCTTGAAAGCCCAGCCACGCATTGCCTCGTGTCCGAAAACATGATCGAGATGATGAAGAGGTGTTCGAGGACGAAGGTTGTTCTCGAGTGAAGTTAGCCCTAGCGGTGACCGGCACACGGTTGTGTTGCGCTCCAAACGTCAAGAGCATGACCTACAACGGCGCCGGCGTGTATGTGTGTGTACACGGTGTGTGTGTGTGTGTGTGTGTGTGCTACTGCAGATGTTTCGCTGGTGCACAAACCTGGGGGACGTGCGGAGGAATGAACTGAAGGATCCTCGACACCGGCTGCACCTTGAGCGATGTCCCCAGCACGAGGAAAAGGTCCGCCTAGCACAGCGAAAAAGAGGGCAGCAAAAAACACGGCGGTACGTGAGCAACTAGTCAAACCAACCCGTTGTGCTGCAGAACCACAAACGCACGGCCGAGGAACAAAAAAAAAACAGAGGTTTAACAGCCCCACCGGCCGGTTGGTTGGATCTCGGAGCTACGTTCCGGGTTAAGTTTTCCGAAAATTGCTTTTCTCAAAGGTATACGAAACCAAACCAACTCCGGGAAACTGCAAAAAAAAAAATCATGTTCCTCCCAAGAGCGTGCGGAATACAGGGGGGGGGGTCCGCCAGAGCGAAAGGAACCCCCACCTTTGCCGTAAACCGCTATCAAACGCCGACTACTGTATGTCTCGAAATAGCCAGGGGTTGATGTACTTCCGAATACAAAGCAATTGATACGTACGTACTGGTGTCCTCTTTTTTTGCCCGCGGGTCCAAGACAACGGGCTTAAAACAACGTGGCCGAGACTAAGACTGCAAGTGTCCGGCGGTGAATATCAGATCCCATAGGGCGAGCCTCAAAGTTCGACAGCTCACTCGACAGGGGAACAATTTCCGGCGTCGGAAAAGGAAAGCACTCGGAAAGACGCACTCGAAAAGATCTCATCGAGAGCTTTCCGAATAGGTGTCGTTCGGCACTGGCACCCTCTCGGTAGCGGAGAAAAAATCGAATAAAAAAACGATCACCCGAAACGGGGTCTTGGGACATACAACAGCCGTAATATGGGGGACACGAACACGTACATTCAACCATATACATACCCCCATATTACTAGCTCTCCACCCTACTATACTGTGGTCAATGGTCTATCAACTAAGGCATGCAAAACATGAACACGCCCCCCCCCCCTCCACACTACGGCGCCCCCGCTGCACCTTCTTGTGGTCCGCCTCGACCGCGCGCTTGACGCTCGCCGGAAGACGCTCCCCGAAGAAGGTGATGTCCGGCTTCACTACCCCTTGGCAAGAGGGGCAGCGCGGGACCCTCTGCTGCATCACTTCCTCCTGGCAGTGGTGGTGTGAGCGCCCCGTCACACAACATCACACAAAAAAAACATTATATGGTGTATGCTTGTGGCGAGGGTTCTGTGTGATTGCGATGGCACTGTGGGGGAGGGGAAGGCAACTAGAGGCATTGATGTGGTGCGGAACGGCAACGATTGTAGGAGGAACGGGGTGCTTGTTGCTGGTACAACTTGCTTCCTGCGAGATGAGGGATCTCTTCTTAATAATTTTCTCCCGCGCAGAAAGCGAGACCAGGCGTTCATAGCGCGGTCGTTGACGAGATGACGATTGCGAGAACAGGGAAACCAGCAAGCGGTCGCCGCCGCCGCCGTAGCAGCAGAAGCAGCAAACACACCGCGGATTTCCCTAAACTGATACCAAAAGATGTTTCGATTTTTTCTCACTCGAATGTCCTCCGCTGTCCTTTTTCTCTTGCACTTCAGGCAGGATGCTGTCAGGAACGAGCCGTGGCAGGCCACATACTTCTTCAGCCCCACCTGCGCCTCTGCCACCGAGGAAACCAACAAAACGCAATAACAATCACAAAAAAAGGCAAACACACGCACGCACACACATACACATGAGGTCAGGAAAAACCCGACGACGTGCTGAGTGGTGCGGACTGTCTGACTGCAGTATTGACAATGTACTACTACATCGTGGTCGTGTGAGCCATCGGGACACGCAAGCCCATCTACAATCGGCTACAGTACACACATACACATACGTTCGCATCCACAACCACCCGAAATGTCTTCACTCTCTCTGTACCAGCATATGTTGCTCAAACTCAGGGAATCGTGCTTCCAAGCCAACAGATCAACTCGGCGCGTGTGGTTTCTGGGACCCGTACTGTACTACTGGTAGGTCTGAGAAGCTCAAGCCTGACCAATGAGCAACGTTCGAGTGTGCGAGCACACCTACGGCAGTTTCGCATAAATCCACCAAGAGAGACCAGGCAGGAACAATCACCGCTTGGTTTTCCTCACCGAGACCGTCGATGTTCTGCGTGAAATTTCTGAGAAGCTTCCCTCGGTTCTCCAGCGCCTTGATAAAGCGGTGGGTGAGGGATGGGACGTAGTTGCCGGGATAAAGCACCTGGCCGTACATTTACAAAGCCAGAGAGAGCAAGGACCAAAGGGGTTGGGGTATCAAAATCAGCAAGATCCAGAAAAAGCTGCATCTGTTGGTCCCCGCTCCTAGGTGGGTCAAAACATAGAGGGCATTTACTTTCCCGGGCGAGGAAACTCACGATCACACTAAATAGTGACCCCAGCTATACTGGCACGTTCTCCCCCTAGATAAATTCTTCGGTTTACCGAGAAAAACACAAGATGGGACGGGGGACCAGGGGGGGATCCCTGAGAGAGGAGTCTTGCGGGGGTTCTCTTCGAATCTGCCGCAAGCTGCAAGCTACACCAGTACCGCTAAGAACAAGAATGGGCTCTTCGAACAGGAGAGTAGCACAAAGAGGTACAACGATATAAACACGGCACGAAGCCGAACAGTATCTGAAACATTTGCTATCGGTCAGCGCCGACAGGTAGTCCAGCGGTCATTGTGCTTCTCAACCAAAGACAATGCCCGAGTCCATCAAGCTGTACTTCAAGCCACGAAAACGTCCCCGTGGTTGCCATCCCTGTGATCAACGCTGTGCTGCCAGATCGATACAAACAGGTCGTCGCCGTGCGCTCAGCAAATCACTCGAGTCCAGCGCATGCCTTGGCAAACTTGAAGAACGGCTCGGGGTCATCAACAAAGAACTCCAGGTCGAACAGGTCTTCGGCGCTGCTCAAGCCGAGGTCTAGCCGGGAGACTAGGTCGTACACGCCGTGTTCCGAACGGAAGTCAGGGATGCCGCACGACACGCTGATGGCGATGTGGGCATAAGAAGATGAGCCGGGGTGGGAGCGGGAGAATTAGAGTGGAGAGGGACACAAAGAGTCGCACACTGACATACCAGGAGCGAGACATCGCAGACCAGTGAGAGGAGGGGCAGAAACCAAAGATTGTGTCTTTTCACGGAAGGGCAAATGACGATTGACCGCGGAGCAGACAAAGGCACTGGTGCATATGTAGCCTGGGCATGACCAGTGTCTCCCCTTGTGGGATACAGGTTGATCATGGCAGGTTTTCATCCCTCAAGAGTTGCACAGACTGCTCCATTTGTGGTCTCACTCAACCACAATCAATCACAAACAAGCTTTGGTAGGAGTACTTTGGACCAAGCAGCGGAAGAAGCAGGGTTGTCAATTGCCGGCCTCCTTCACACAACTATGATGACAACATCAACCTTCGTTGCGAAACGTGATGTATTTCGCCGCACCTTGTCGGCTTGACTGCGTAGCTGTATCAAGGAACACTCAATATAGGGTTCTCAGATTACGGACAGAAGCCATAGATCCGTCCACAAACACGTACGCAGCGCTCAATACACACGTGGGCAGCTGTGCATGATGCAGACGACGCATGATATCGCCCCTGCTTGGACAGATTTTCAAAGCTCGAATACTCCATGACGAAGAAGATGTATACATCTGAACATATGTTTTCGGAAAGCTCTCCATGAGACGGTTCCAACGCCACTATTCAGTTTAGCACAATCTTTGTCTGTGGAGCACTTCATCTTTGCCGAATCGGCCCAGGGGGTGTGGTATCTTACGTCACCTACAACCGATCTCGCGTTGCTGCTTTTCTAGAGAAGAAGTGTTCCAATTTCTATTTGTCCAACAAGAGACATGTTTGCTTCACACGAACGTGTCTTCGATGTCGAATAATTATTGACCCGGAGTCAAGAGAATAGATGCACAAAGCAAAGTTTTGAGTGAGAGTACTCTGCACCAAGGTGAAGTGTCCCCGTCCCCTTGAATGTGTTTATGTTTTGGTTTTCCGCACACACTTTGCGGCGAACGAAGTTTATACAACAAGAGCAAACCGGCAAGCTTGTTCGTTTCTCCCTGACAACCGAGACCTAGAATATGTTGTAGCCATGTATCGCAGCCAAATGGGTACACCCATAACTGCGTGCGCTTGCCTGATTCCAGCGCCGGTGACAACAACAACGCGCTTGCACGTGCGGAGCAAGTTCACCAGCTTTTCGAGCGATGTGAAGTCGGGCAGCACCTTGCGCGGGCCTCCACTCCCGGCAGGGACCTCAGCCGGAGTTTGACCCGACGGATGCCCACTCGGCAACGTGAGTTCATCCTGCTTCCGCTTGGGCATGGCTACATTTGTAGGCTGCTACTGCTGTGTTGGGTAGACCTTGCGTCTTCACGGCGATCTACACAATCTACGACAACTGGATTGGAGTTCCACATCCGTTCGCTCGAGGCAGTTTCGCAGTTTCAAATTTCAAACTTCAAACAGTTTTCGCCTGCGTAGTTGGGCCATTTCTAGTGCCCGTTCTCGTTTGAGCAATAAGGTCAACACCTCCGCTGCGACTCCTTATGTTCCGGTCTGACTCGCACAACCCAAAGTGCCGCGGATTGGTCGACACCTGCGCTGCGAATACCTGGTGTTCCATTCTGCCAAAGTGCCGCAGTTTCACCGGTAGCTCCGCCTGACATATGTTGTGAACAGAACAAGGTCGCAGCA